CACACACACACACACACACCCCTGCATGCAGGGGAGGGGCTCAGGAAAAATTTGTGGAGTGACTGCATATCAGTTTCTCTACCAGTGTGTTAATGCAGGCCCTGTCAATGTCCACACTTCTGGACGTGTGCGTGTCTGTGCAAGTCAGGAGTATACAAACATGTGCTCAGCAAACATTCCCAGAGGACAGAGCAGTGACCGAGACAGCCCCGGCTCGTTCCAGTGGAGAATAACCTGTCTCCAGACAGTGTTGACCCACAGCGAGCAGGGCTGGGGTGTGAGAACCCAGGGATCTGCGGGGGGAGGGGGCCGAGCAGGTGGTCAGGGAGGGCTTCCTGGAGGAAGAGGCATTGGAACCACAATGTGGAGGATGCATAGGATAAGGTAAAGTTGTATGCCTTAGGGCATGTCCCAGGTAAGGGGAGAGCAGGGTCTAGAGCCAGAAGGTAAGAGATCATGGCAAGTTAAAGGAGGGGGGGTGCATCCGGCTCTTAGGGTTAAATCCCATCCCCTCAAGGTCTCGTTCGTTAGGGGCCTGGCCTCTTCTCCCAAGGGTACCGGGAACCATGGTAGGTTCCGAGCAGAGGACCGGTAGGGTCAGGTTTGTGCTTTAGAAAACCCTCTGGCGGGTGCCTGGGTGGCTCAGTTGGTTAAGCGTCTGCCTCCAGCTCAGGTCATGATCCTGGAGTCCCGGGATCGAGTCCCGCATCGGGCTGCCTGCTCAGCGGGGAGTCTGCTTCTCCCTCTGACCTTCTTCCCTCTCGTGCTCGCTCTCTACCATTCTCTCTCTCTCTCAATAAATAAATAAAAATCTTAAAAAAGAAAAAAAAAAAAGAAAACCCTCGGGCTGCTGAGCAAATGGGAGGGGCGGGACTGGCACAGAAGAGGGAACAGCCTGGACCAGACAAAGTGAAGAGGTGAGGCTCCCGAGTGATGGGGGTGCGGGTTATAGCTGAGGGGCCTTGGGCGTGTTCCTGTAGAAGGAGGCCAGTGAGTCCAGGTGGCCTGAGAGCTTCCTTCCTTGGTTCCCAGAGTCATGGGACAGAAGCCCCGCAGGGGGCCCGGGCTTTCTCCCGGGGCACTGGCAACTGTGAGATGAGGTGGGGGAGGGCGGGGCGGAGCAGGTCCGTGGCTGCCGGAGGCGAGGAGGAGCCCGTTGTCCCACGTGTGTGTACACGTGGGGCTCTGCGTGTGCCAACACCCCCTGGGCCCTCCTGGATTCCCTGCCTGGCTCCGCAGGACGGGGTGGCAGGTGGAGCCTGGTGTGGTCCTCCCCTCCCAAAACAATAAATCTGGAAATGCGGGGTCCCAAGCCCTCGGAGCACAGGGACACCCAGAGACCTATGTCCTTGTCTATAAAGTGGGTGAACAGTCCCAGCACCCAGGCAGCTGGGAAGACACGTGTGCTACGCACTAAGGTCTTGGCTGGGTCCTGAGGGCGGGGAGCCCAGAGGATGCTGAGGTCACCCCAACAGCTCCAGAGCACCCCTCTGCCTAAGGACCTGCCCCTGTACCCCTACCGCAACCCCGGGCGGAGAGCTCACAGGCCAAGAAGCGAGGCTGTGTGTCCAGCATGCGGGGCCTGCTGAACGAGTGAGTCTGATGGGCAGTTATCAGGACAGTGGGTGTCTGTGGGCGTCTACTCGTGAGCCAGGCCTGTGCTGCTGCCCCCCACCTGGCAGTGTGAGGCCAGGAGGCAATCAGTGGGCACAGGCAAGGCTCAGCCCCGGCCGGTCAGATGCAGCCTCGTGGTGAGAATCCAGGTACAAGGAGGTCCCAGCGAACAGCTTCCCATCTGTGAACTGGGGACAATTACTGAAGGCCCTCAGAGGGCTGCTGGGAGGGGGAGAAGGGGTGCGAAAGGGGCCTGGCCACGAGGGTCCCTGTCTCCTACTGCGTCCTGCACCCTGCAGGTCTCCCTCGCGGACCCAGGAGAGCCACCTGCAGCCCGGTGAAGCTAGCCTCCAGGGTGGCAGAGGAAGGCAGGCACGAGGGGGGATTGCTGAGTTTAAGTTAAACACCCATATGAATTTATTAAATCCAGACTGTGTTAAAGGGCGGCGGTCTGGGAGGAGGGGCGTGGCCGGGGGACAGGGGACAAGATGATGGATGGCCGTGGGCATCCCACAGAGGGGCCCCGGCCGCTCTCCCCGCCTGGCCCCCAACCTCGGCAGCGCCACGTCGGCTTCACCATGATTCCCAATGGTGCTGGGCTGGCAGGGCGAGATGGCTAGAAACACAGAGGAACATACGGACAGACGGCGCCTCCACAGACAACATGCCCTGGCCTGCCCCGGCCCCCCGACACACGCTGGGCTCCGGCCCGAGGGGGGGCCTCCCGCCGCCCTGGCCCGATCTGTCCAGGGAAAGGGCGACAGGGAGGGGAGGCGAGGGGGCCAGGACAGCGTGGGTGGGTGGGGGTGGTGGTGGTCACCAGGAGCCGGAGCGGAAGAGGAGGACCGGGGGCAGCTAATCCCTCTTCTTGTCCTCTGCTGGCTTTGGAGGGGCTTCCTGGGGCTCGCTGGCAGAGCTGGCCCCCTGGGTGGGCTTGGCGGGCAGGGGCGTGGAGGCCTCCTCTCTGGTGGTGGTGGTGGTGGTGGTGGCGGCGGCGGCGGCGGCGGCGGCGGCTGTGGCGGGGGCCGGGGCGGGTGGCGGTGGGAGGGCCCCTGCTGCCGTCGGGGCCTCGACCACAGGGGCGGCTGCCGTCGGGGCCTCGCCACTCATGCCAAACTCGTTCACCCGCGTGGGGTCGACGCGGTAGATCCACCGCTGGTAGAGGTAGATGAAGAAGACCACATCTGGGGGTGGGGTGAGGGGGGCAGTGTGAGAGGAAGCGGCCCGCCCGGCACCCCTGGCCTGAGCCCCTAGGCCGACGCTGTGGCATCTCCCTCGGCGCAGGGCCCTGCCTGCGCCCGGCTCTGGGGGCCTCCCGCCGGGCCTCCTGCCCGCCCACTGGACCTCACCGTCCCGCAAGCAGCCGATCCGGTACATGACGGGCATCTTGATGACAAAGGCAAACAGGTCGTCGATGAAGGTGTTGAGGGCCTTGTAGGTAAGCATGCGCCAGGGCAGGTGGGCCACAGACTTGAGCTTGTAGTTGATGAAGAGCTGGGGGGTCATGGTGATGAAGCCTGCAGTGATGACGGAAGGAGCCCCGTGAGCCGAGGAAGGGGCGCCCTGACCCCCGACCTCTCTGACCACACTTCCGGTCTCTCTCTCCTCCCTGTTCCCTGGCCACCCTGGCCTCCTTCGCCGCTCCCACCCCCAGGTGCATCTTACCACAGCTTCCTCACCAACCCCCTGGGCATCTTTCAGGCCTCAGTTTACATACCATCTCCTGAGAGAGGTATGTAAACCATCTCCCCAACCCCCTTAACTTCAGCCCCTCGTGGCACCTGCCACGTGCTGTCACTCGCCTATCTGCTTGTCCACTCTGAAGGGGCCCTGAGCACAAGGACTGAAACGTACCGTGCACGGCCTCCTGAAGTCTTCCCTGACCCCCAGCCTAGACCGGGCACCCCTCCAAGGCTCCTCACGTGCCACCCCTGCCCACCCTGGGTCGTCCCCGTCTAGGGATGAGTCTCTCCCGCACGGGACCATGAGCATTAGGAGGACAGGGCCAGGCTGACCGGACCCGGCTGGTCCCCTGCGTGGCCCAGCACAGGACCCAGAAACGCGCGCTGCTGAGTCTGCCCTAGGCAGGGGTGCCGAGTGTGGCGAGGGCCTGCTCACCGAAGGTCAGCAGGAAGCCATAGAGCATGCTGAGCACCCAGGAGTACCAGCCCTTGTGCTCCAGGTACAGGAGGCTGTAGACAGCATAGCAGCCCAGGAGCGGGAACAAGATCCACGACAGGTACCGGAACGCCATCTGTGGGGCACAGGGCGGGGCTGGCACCCCTGGCTCCCCACCCTCACCCACCCACACCTGGGCTGGCAGGCCAGACCAGGGGAATTTCCAGGTGGCCCTGGGAACTCTGGACTTGGACAGGAAGTATACACGGCAGGCACGGAACACTGGCGGGTGTGACACAGGCCGTAAAGAATGGATGGGCCCGTCAGTCGGCAGGCAGATGCCCTGGACCCCCACCCACCGCCCATCTCCTGGTCCAGAGGTGTGTGGGTGCTTGGAGACCCTCCCCGGGGCCCACTGTGGGGGACACTCACATCATCATACACTTTGGTCGAGGACTCGATATACGTGGACTTGTCTTTGAAGGTTGGGCGGGGAAAGAGTCCTGCCACCTTGTGCTCCCGGTCCAGCTGCAGATAGAGAGGGAGGTCATGGTCAGCTGCCACCCTGGCTCCCACCCCCCACCCCCACCAGTTCCAGCCCCTGCCCTTCCTCACTGTTCCCAGTTCCCCTGCCCCACGTGTGACCCAAAAAATCCCCTGGTGCGAAAATCCCCTTGGTCCTGGGAGTGCAACAGGCATTGGGAAACCCCCAGGGGCCAGCTCCAGGGTCTGGCTGGGGCAGACAACCCCCATTCCAACCCCCCGGCGGCCCCCAGAACAGCACAGGGGCCCGACCTTACCCGGACGTCCATGACCTTGGTGATCTTCCAGAGGTCGATGAGGACCCCGATGAAGACGCTGACCTGGACCACGAAGTTGGTCTCATTATCCAGGATATAGAGAAGGACCACGAAAGACTGGAACACGCCGAAGAAGACGGAGCGCACGGACAGGCCCTCCAGAGACTGCCGGCTGTTCCAAAACTGGATATCTGCGCAGGATTGGGGTGAAGCCGAGAGACTATAGAGCCTCTGAGTCCCTCCCGTAGCTCCCTCAGGCCCCATCCCCTTCAGAAACCCCGACGTGGCGCTGGGTCTGCCAAGGGGGAGGGGTGAACACCACCCTCCCCTCCCATGAAGAGTCTCTGCCTCACGGGCGCCACCCAGAGCAGTCAACAGGGTGGTGGCGGCAGGGATGGGAACGGTGGCCCCTGCCACGTCCTGGTGCTCGCCACACGCTGGGAGCCGAGGCTGCTCAGGGAAGCCCCATTCCTCAGGCCACAGAGCCTGCCCTGGCAGAATGTGGATGCAAGCCAAGTCTGCACGACACCAGAACCTGGCTGTCCACCTGGTGCCAGGCCGCCTCCCCTGGGCAGGAGGCTCTGGGACGTGCACTTCGAGACCAGCTCTTCTAGCCCACCACCCTGAAACTTGGAAGGACCTTAGACACTCCTGGGGCGCAGACAAGGCCCTGGGCTCTGGTCCCCAACCAGAGCTCCTCCCCAGCCCCTGTCTGAGCCCTAGCCTCCCAGGGGCCAAAGCAGGTACCAGTGCGGCCTAACACCCGCAGCCACAGGCAGCCGACCCACCATGATGCCGGTCTTACAGAAGCGAAGCCAGGCCCAGGGGCACACACGGCTGGCCCTGCATCAGCGTGCAAAGCTGTCCACCCACTCTGATTCCGATTCCAGAGCTCCAGCACGCTCGGCAGGCTTGACCCACTCCCCTATCGGACCATCAGGCCCTGAGGAGACCTGACGGGGACACTCCTAGAGCCCCCCAGTACTGACTGGGAAGAATGGGTCTGGAGACTGAGTTCGGTTGGAGACGGGTAATGTGAGTCCCGCCTCAGGCCAGGGAGGCAACAAGCATGGGGTGTAAAGGCGCCCAGGGCCCATGCCCCCCACTGGGTGACCTCAGGCAAGGGACGATCCCCTCCGTGCCCTCATTTCTCAGGAGGAAGTGGGACCGTGGGGCGACCCAGCTCGAAGTCAGCAGGCAGTCTGGGCACCCGGGCCGTGGCCGGGTACGGTGAGTGCTCCATGCGGCCCCGCTAACAACTCCCTCCCTCCCAGTGGTCGCCACCACCTACCGTCCAGTTTGGATGTTAGGAACTTCTAGAAGGTAACGCTCGATTGTGGCACTATTGTGTCCATTGTGGCACTATTGTGTCCGTAACGGCAACACCCGCTAGGACCGCTGCCAGCACAAGCTACAGAGCAGCAGGCCTCCCTAGGGAAGGACGCAGTGGCCCACTCGGCTCCGAGGAAGAAAGCGGGCGTCGCAGCCCCTGCCTGGGTCCAAATCCTGGCTCTGTCACTTGGCAGCCGCGTGACTGCGGGCAAGTTACCTAACCTCTCTGAGCCTCCACTTCCTCACCTGTGAGCCTGGAGGTAATGACAGGCTTCCCCTTGGGGCTGGGGCTGTGGGGACTCCACAAGCTAACCGATGAGGGTGCTGGCCATCAGCACTGCTGGACTTTGCAACCTAGGGGCCCTCTGGCAACAGGGCTGTCGCCTTCCCACTCAGGTAGGCCCCCACTCAGCCTCGAGGGGTCTCCCCCAACGAGAAGCCCGCTGTGTGGGGCAGCAGGAGCGGCTCTGGGGCTTCCCTCATCGATCCCGGCCTCGGAGTTCCCCGGCCCCGCTTCCTGGTGGTGCCATCCCGGCCTCTGCCGGAGCAGCAGGCCAGCTCCTTCCCCAGTGCCACACCCACTGGATGGGAGTTTCTGGGCTGGGAGTTTTGGGGTCATTACCCTCCCCAGCTCCTCAGGCCTCTGGAGAGTGGGGCCGAGAGACCCCACATAGAGGGAGAACCTATGGGGAAGGAGGAAGAGGGGGAAGGGGGCAGGCCCTACCCCCCACCACACAGCCTCCTATCCCCAGCCCCCCCATGGCCCCTCACCGGCCCCAGGGGCCCACCCTACCGTTCTTGAAGGCCAGGAACTCAAAGACACTGTGGACGATGGACACAATGATGGTGAGCGCCAACAGGTAGGGGTTGGTCTCTAGGAGCGCAACCTGGGGGTGGGGGTGGGGGTGGGGGGCGATGCCTGTGAGCACAGCCGTGCCCTCGCCCAGGGGTGACCGCTGCAGCACCTTCACGAGCCAGCCCCACTCTCCTTCCCCCGGACCCTGCAGGCCCTGAGCCCCGGAGCTTCCCCAGGGAAGGAGAGAGCACACCGGCCAGCAGGAGAGTGGGTGAGGGTGGGCGGAGGGGCACGGAGGGCCGGGTGAGCGCTGTGCAGACGGGCGGGGTTCGGGGGGACGGGGTGACAGTGACGGGGCGAGAGGCAGGGTGACTGAGGCAGATGAAGGGACGGTTGGGGTGAGGACTGGAAACTCGGCACCGAAGACAAGCCCAGGGAGGCACAGCCGAGTCTCCAGGTCACAGACGCAGGCCAAGAGAAAGGTGGGAACAGAAGATGTTCAAGGATGCGCTAAGAGGGAGCAGAAGCTCAGAGTCGGAGCCCAGGGTCAAGGCGACAGGCTGGGGGCGGGGGCAGGGGCGCAGGTCCAGACCTGAAAGGCCTGGCTGAGGCGACAGACAAGCCGTGACGAGATGACAAGGAGGCCCCCAGAAGCCTCGGAGACAGGACCCCCCCAGAGCCAGCCAGGGCCTGCTATGGGGAGGGGGCCCGGGAGGTTGCGAAACTGGGCAGGGAGCTCGGGCTGGAGGTCCCCAGGCTGCCGGCGGGCCCACTTCCCCTTCGTGCAGCCCAGGAAGGGGCCGGAAAGCCCCCGTCCCGCCTCACCTTCACCGAGTCCTGCTCCTCGTCTGACTGCTCGTACAGCTCGTCACCCAGGAAGTTCCAGGGCGACTTGGTGCTCTGGGCAGCGTAGAGTTGCCAGCGCCAGAGCGAGAGTGGGCAGAAGGAGACGCGGAGCGGCAGGCTGGCCAGGCTCTCGTTGATGGGGTAGTAGTCCTTCTGCAGGTTCCAGTAGTCGTTGAAGTAGATGATGGGGTAGTAGTCCCCACTCACGGCATCGAACTTCACATCTGCGGGCACGTGGGGCAGGGCCACCGCTCAGCCAGGGCCGGAGGTCACCGGCACCCAAGAGGGCGGGGACATCCCTCGGGCCTCCAAGGGCAAAGATGGCAGATTCAGATGTCCACGGGGACCCCGGGCAGAGAACAGGGGATGCTTCTCGGCTACACCACAGGGAGCTGAAGAGCTGCTTGACCTCCGTGGAGGGGATGGGGTAGAGAGGGCTGGGCAGGCCCCACCTGAAGGGGACATCCGTGGCTTGGTTCCAACCCACGGCTGCCCCGCCAATGACCACATATCAGGGTTTTGTAAAAGAAGTCAGGAATCTGGGTTTTTCAACGATGCCGTCTCAACTTCAAAAGTTGGCAACAGCTCATGGGCTAGATGAGGCTTGCCAGAGGACTGGTTTGGGCACACAGGGGGTCAGCGCTGGGGTCACCGGGAGGTGCAGGAAGGAGAGGAGAGAAAGGGGAGTGCCGGGGTGGGGGGAGCTTGGGAGTGGTGGAGACGACCCAGTCAGATCTCGCAGGGGGTTGGGGCTGGGGACCGAGGGGGCTGGGGGCTCACACTGGTCCAGAGGCGGCGGCACGCTGCCCTTCACCCATGGCGTGTGGTCGTCCACGATGTTGATGGTGATGTTGGGGTGCCAGTGGGAGATCACCTCCACGGGACCGTAGTCCTCGGCCCTCTGAGGGAAGATGGGGTGAGGCGGGGTTGGGGGAGGGGGGGGGCCTCAGAGGCACCTGCCTGCTTCCTCCTGAGGGCTTCCGTGACATTGAGATAGCAGAAGAGTAAACCACCACAGTGACCGCTGGCCGAGGGCTTACTCTAGACGACCCCTGTACCAGCCTTTCCAGAGTCTTCCCCACCCCCTCCCTGGATCCCACGCCCCCCCGCCCCCCAGCCACCTAACAGAGCAGGGAACCGAGGCCTGAGCATGTGGATGCGGTCATATGCCAGGCTGCAAAGCGTGGCCTGGTGACAGCACGAGTGTGGGACCCACACGCAGCCTCTGCACGGGGGCCGTCCCTCTCGTCCCTGTGCAGAGAGCCTCCCTCTCCGTTCCCTGGGCTCTTGGGGCCCAGCACAGGTTAGCACCCGCCAGCGCCCCCAGCCGGCCAGGGAGTATTCCTGCTACAGTCTCATTATCGGCTGCCCGCTCTAGGCCGGGCTGCCTGCGCGTGAATCCTGGCCCTGCCACATCCTGCCTGGGACACCTGGGGCAAGTCTCCTTGTCTGAAAACGGGAACAGTGACAGGACCTTCTCGACGGGGCCGGGGCGAAGCGTCTAAGTCCGTCTAAGTACCTGCTCCCTGGGTGCTGGCTGCTATGCCCTTGCCTGAAATCCGCCCCATCCTGAAAGGCAGCTCTGCTTCCTCGCCTGGTTTCCAGAGAGGTGAGGCGGCCCGACCAAGCCTCCACAGGGGCTCAGTGGTAGCGTCCGAGGGGAACCCATGGGGGCTGGCTGCCGGGCAGTGAAGGGCCCAGATGCACCCCTAAGGCCCCACAGCTCCGCTCCCGTTTACCTTGATCATTTCTGGATCGGCTTCTGTCTCTCCCGTCAACAGGTTCTTGGTTTTCTGAAATCGCCGGCGCTTGTATTTGTTGATCACTGTGGGAGGGGAGGTGGAGGCAAGAGCGCAGACAGGAGAGCTACCGGCACCGGACACCAGACCGCTGCCCGCCGCCAGCCACCCGCTGGTCTCCTGGCTGCGCTCTTGCACCCCGAAACGAGGGGACGGCAACGGGAGCCCGAGAGCCGAAGCTGCCCTCTCAGACCTCATCCCGTCCACTTCCCCATCTTGGCTGGGACACCCACACCTGCCAAACTGCCCCAGGCAAAAACCTGGAGTCTTCCTTCTCCAGAATCTGCTCCATCTGTTCCATCAGCCATTCCAGGGACGCGCCCCCCCCAACCCCCGCCCCAGCTCGTGCTTCACATCCAACCACTCCTCCCACCTCCGGGGCCCCAGCCCGGGCCAGCCACGGCGTCCCCCTCCCGATGACCACAGTCCTTGCCCCCACGACCTGCTCTCCACAGGGCAACCAGCAATTCTTTTTAAACCGAGCGTCTGTTCTTCTCCCGCTGCTCCAGAAACCCAGAAGGCTCCCGCTCCCCGAGCAGGGCACCTGTGACGCTCACCACGGCCCCACTGACCTCCTGCCCTCGCCCGCCTCCCTCCTCCCTCCCCAGATCTGCCAGCCCCGGGCCTTCGGAGGCCCTGCTCCATCTCCCTGGCACGCATCCACCGCGGCCGGAACCTTCCCAGTGGGCTCCTTCGTAGCCTTCCGGTCCCCGCTGAGATGCCCCTCTTCCACAGGCTTCCCTGCCCACCCCACTGCAGGAGGCCATCCTGCTGTCCTGCTCGCCACTTCTGCCTCCCTCCCCACTTTTTATCCTGGCCCCCAGTTCGCCGCCCCGTCGGCTGGCTCGCCTGCTCTCTGCCCGCTCCAGTCCACGAACCCCAGGACTGACAGCTAGTAGAACCCCGTGAACATCAACAGGCGGGCTGCAGACAGTTCTGGAGAAGGCCCGAGCCACCAATATGAGAACTACTATGGGGCTGTGAATCCCCAGCCAGGAGTGGACCTCACTTCTCTTGCGGGGGCCAGGTGGGCTACATGCTCCCTGCCGCCCTGCCCGGAAGACTGCCAAGACTTGGCAGGAAGAGGAGGCCGGTGCTTGCTTATGCCCCATCTCCCCTCCTCCACCCTGGCCTGGTACTTTTCACTCTTCCTTATGCTGGGACGAACCACGGCCTGCCCATCTGGTGACTTCTCCATCCTGCCCCTGCGGGCCCGGGAGAGATGGGGAAATGGAAAAGGGAGCTGGCCAAGAGCGGGGGCTTTGGGGTCATATCCTGGCTCTGTCTCCCTGAGGGACGTTGGTGAGCTACGTCACTTCCCTGGGCTTCAGTCCCTCCTCTGGAGAAGGGGGTTCAAAGCACCACCCCTTCTTGGCAGGACCACTGTGAAGAGCACAGCCAGGCCGCATCTGCGCCCGTCACACTTCCACAAACCACAGGGCCCAGATCCCTCCCAACCACCCAGAACCAGGGCTTGGGGCTTTTGGAGTCTATGGAGGAGCTCAAGTTCAAAAATGCTTCTGGGAATTGGCTTTCGGTTTCAGCCCAGGGCCTGCTGCTCTTTCTTGTTACCATGAACGCTAACCCCCACTCCTATCATGTTAGTTCATGTGAGACCTTGCCCCCCTCTCCGGGGAACACAGGAAACACCCGAGGGTGGGCATCCTAGAGGAAACCTTCCAGGGGGACACGCTCTGCCACTGTTCCACACCTGGGAGAGGCTGTCCAGGGAAGGCAGGAGCTGTGCCCAGCCCCGCCGCAGGAGGAGAGAGGCTTTGGTTTAAGTGGAGAACATTCTACAACCGGGTGGCATTCAGACTGGATTGTAACATGAGATGGACCTGGCTTCTGTCTGGGAGAAGAGTCCCCCTTTCTAGGGGTTACAGCTTCTAGAACTGCACCAGCCAGTACAGTCACTGGCCACGTGAGGCTACGGACACTGACCAGGTGGCTGGTCCGAACCAAGATCTGCTGTGAGTGTAAAACACACAGTGGACTTCGAAACTTAACGCAAAAAACAACGTAAAATAGCTCGCTAATTTTTTACACTGATTACATGTCGAAATGACCATATGTTGACGTCAATAAAATTATTACTCATGGGCGCCTGGGTGGCTCAGATGGTTAAGCGTCTGCCTTCGGCTCAGGTCATGATCCCAGGGTCCTGGGATCGAGTCCCGCATTGGGCTCCCTGCTCCTTGGGAGCCTGCTTCTCCCTCTGCTTCTCTCTCTCTCTCCCTCTGTCTCTCATGAATAAATAAATAAATAAATAAAATCTTTAAAAAAAAAAAAATTATTCCTCACACTCACGTGGCCACTAGGCAGCACAGAGGACTTGCGGGGCTGGTGTCATACCCGTGGGACCGTGCTGCTCTAGGTACTGACTAGGTCTAGGTCTTCCGGGGAGGGGGGGGCTTCTCTGGCCCCACACTCCCGTTCTTCCCTCTGGACTTGGCGTGTGGCCAGCTCTGAGCCCCTTCCCGTCCCTGCTCCAAGCCGTCCCAGGTGTGGGACGGGGGAGGGAGGCCTGGGGAATCCTAGTGGGCTCTTCCGGTCCAGGGGCCGCAGATTCTCTTTTGCAGACCATGCCAACATGTGTCACACTGACCGTGGATGTGACCTCAACCACGCCTCGATACCGAGCACATTCCCCAAAGGCAGAACCGCAGAAGAGAACAGTGGTGTCGATAGGGGGCAAATGGGATGGAAGAGAGCGGCTGTCACACTCAAGGCAACCTCTGAGGCGTCAGGCACATTTAAGTCAGACCCCCGATCCATGCCGCTCCCGGGGCCACACCTGTGGAGACTACCCATGCAAGCCACACTCCCTCTGCTCGCCTCTGCCTGCACCAGATCCTGCTGAAGGAAGCCAGCCGGGCAGAACGCCCCACGGACCACATTCCACAGACACGCTCACAGAACAGGGCTCACCACACACAAAGGGACTTTTCCAGATCACTTTTTGGAGGCTGACACGGGTTCACCCACTGTTTGTTTTGCCCACTACAGAGGATAATGAAAAAATTCTCATCCTTTGGGATATTTTTATAGCCCCGAAGTTAGGGAAGGCCTAACCCAACAAGCAGAAGCGCATCTATTGCTGCCCCACACAGAAACAGCCGGAGGGATCTGAACTAAACCCCCAGGGGCAATGAAATAAAAGCGAGGCGGGCACACGAGATTCATGACAGGGGGAAGGGAACTTTCCGAGGGAGCCACTGAATCTCTAGATCTGCTGAAACTCAAGTATGGCGAGAGACGCCCAGGGCTGCCAATCAGGACACAGTGGATTCAAGGACAAAGACCCCAAGAGGGAGGAAAAAAAGGAAAATCTGCACAACCACGACTCATCTCATACAAAACGAAGGGAAAAAGGACTACGTTCAGCACGCGGCTCCGATGCCAATAAGCCACGTACTCAAAGGCACCTAAAAACTGAGTATTAATCTCCTCAAAAATCTCGTTCCCGTGCTGGGCTTCTCTCCCCTCGGGGGAGCTCTGGAGGTTAAACAGCGGAGAAACAGCGACAGGAACTTGCAGGCAGTGGGCTGTGGGGAGTGGGGCCGGGGGAGGCGGGGAAAGGGGAACACGAGACGGAGGACTTGCCCTGTCTTGCTGAATTACTTGAATTCTGAACACCTGTGTGCAAGAAGCGACGAACTGGAAGACGATCCCCTGGGTGGAGAAGACCCCCGCTCACTACCCGGCCATGTCAGAAGTCGCAAATGGCTCGCCCTGACCCAAGGCTTCCCGGGGTCACTCACAGTCCCTGGGGTTTGTGCTTGCAGTCGGGATGGCCGGGTGGCCAGCCAGAAGGAGAAGGGGGGACCTCCTCCGGCTGCGCGGCCCTCATAGCATGCTCTCACGGGACCATCTAACTGGGCTGCCCAGGAGCCAGGCACCGCCGCACAAAGCCCCTGGAGGGTGGCACGTTTGTGCGGCTCCCATTCGCAGGGACTGGGGTAACACAGACACACTTACAGACCTCACACGGGATCAAACATAGCCCAGAGTCCTCCCGCTTCCCCTGCTCTCTCCTGTTGTTCATTCACAGACCGCTCCTGAGTGTCTGCTCTGACCAGGCCTACAAGCGTGCGCGAGCCAGCCCCGCCCTTCTCTGACCACTGTCCCCTGCCCTTCAGAAGTCCCGTTCTCTACCTGCTCTTTGACTCCTCTCCCGTCTGCTCACAGGTGTCCGCAGAGGTGCAGCGGGTGGGTGGGGCTCGAGCCCAGCCCGCGGACCCCAGCCTCCCTGGGCCCAGGCTTTCCTGCCTGCCCTCTTGGCCTGGCCCCCCCGGCACAGGGGGTCTGCCACATGGCGGGGGTGCTTACTCCGTGACATGTGGACCGTGGCGAGCCGGCGGTAGAGGGCCTTCTGCCGGGGGTCTGGGTGGAAGCCACTCTTGGTGAAGTAGACGTGGATGTAGATGGAGCCATTCTGCTGGACGCTCTGCAAGGTGGGCCGACAGGGAAAAGGGACACGCTGAAGCCCCTCCTGGCACCCGGCCCCAGCAGCCTCACCACCCCCAGCTCCCCGGTACTGAGCACTCGGGTGGGCAGTGGGGCTGAGCGGCCAAGAGCAAATGGCTAATGTCAGACACACTCAGATTCGAGTCCCAGCTGGAGCACACCCTGGCTGTGGGACACCCAGGCTCCGCCTCACTGAGGCCTCCGCGCCCCCGCCTGAGCCATGCAGATAAGCAGCGCTGGGAAGACTATCTGAGAGCACCCGGCGCAGCCACGTGGGCACAGAGGAGGAGCTCCACACACGCCAGCAAGCTTAACCCATTCGACAGTAAAACAATGGCCCAGGCCCTGCTCCAGGCCCTTCAAATGGTAACCACCGAACCCAGTGCGTTCACCTTTGTATGACTGACGCACGTAAACCTCGTGCTTTGCGTGGTGTGACCACTCCCATCTTCCATGTGAGGCAACGGGGCCTCACGCAGGGATTGTGTAACGTGGTGCATCAGTGGATCTGAACTCAGTCTGTGGGCTCCTGTGCGGCTCTCCCCTCACCATCTGTGTCCCCCGCTCTGCCTGTGCCTGTCACCTGCTATCTCCCAGGACGGGGACTATTCTCAGCCCCACCTGCTACAGATGAGGAGACCCAAGAGGGCGGCCACTTGCCTGAGGCCCCGGGGCGACAGCCAAGGCCGATCTGAGGCCTCCGTCGGAGCTCTGTGCAGAACTTGGATTTACTTGTTCCCTTCACTTCCCTGCCTTTTAAGCCCACCTCTGCGTTCATCATGTTTTATATATTTTCACTGTTTTAACATCTTGGGGCAGGGGCGGGGGGGCAATGGGGTTGGGGGAGGGAGGGGGTGTATTCTTAGCTGGCTGAGGAGACTTGCCCCTTCCAGGGCTACTAATTCCTAGAGACAACTCACCTGCCTTTGTACACATCTTTCCTATGCAATCCAGCCAATCCCAAGCCCACACTCCACCTACTCCCTTGATCTAATAACTTTTACATACCAAGCTTCCCTAAATCACCCAGGATGGGGTACATGCAGCTGGAGACCACCCCTCTAGCCCAGAGCCCACTGATATCCAACATCCGAAGGAGCCAATCCTAAGCTGTTTCCCCTGCTTGCCTTGCTTTTCCCATGGAAACCCCAGAAAAGGCTCCAGCTGGGCTCCCCACCCCCCCTCACCCCTTCCTTTTGCTTCTGACCAAACCTGGTGCTTCCCCTGTGGCCCTGCATGGGAAATGCAAATAGTAAATTAAATCAGGCACAAACGGGCTACCTCCCGCCCCAAAGCTGGGAAGGAGGGTTGACTGGCATGCTTGGGAATGGCTCTCACCATCCAACTTGCTACCCGCTGAGCCTTCCGGGGATCGCATCTCAGGGAGGGCTCTGGGGGCTGGGCCGGAGGTCTCAGTGGAACCGTGCCCCCCTTCCCCCGGTATACTTATCCTACCCGCCTCAGAAAGACGGAACCCAGACCCTGCTTCGAGGCGCCCAGACAGAGCAGACATGCCCCCTCCCCCCAGGGGCCGAGGAGAAGACCTGCTAGGGAGAAATGAATGAGAGGGTGGCCCCAAAGAGATATCAACACCCACTGATTCACTGATTGATTATATTCACCAACTCGTGTATTCGCTGAAGTATTGGCCCCATGCTGAGCAGGGCTGGGGACACAGCGGTGACCAAACCAGCCCCAGGAATGACCACCCAGAGTGTGCAGGCTTGAATGCAGAAGCCCAGAGGGGGTCCACTGCCTGAGCCTGAATGTCAAGGAAGGCTTCCTGGAGGAGGCAGGATTTGAGCCTGGGGCTGTGAGAGTCCAGAGCCAGACAGCCTGAGCTCGAGTCTCTCACAAGCTCTCTGACCTTGTAAGTCACCCAAGCTCTCTGTACCTCAGTTTCCTTATCAGTCAGTCAAACAGAGCGGATAGCTGCCACTTCACAAGGCAGCAGGGAGGCTCCCACTTACTATGGAGTACACAGCAAGTGCTCCATCGGTATTAACTACCACCTTCAAACAGGGCTGCCAGCACCCCTAAGGTCGGTTACTCATCTTTCACTGGTTTAAAGCACAGGTTTACATGCCCCATGTAGGTAGCTGGGAAGATCCGAGGCCAATTCCAACCCTGTTCACATTTGTCAGCTGGGGAGGCCGAGGCCTAGAGACCCCCAGGGCCTCCCTGTGGTCACACAGCAGGTGGACGGCAGCAGCGTCAGGCTTGGAGCCCGAACTCAGGCTGCGGGACCTGGAGCCGGTTCAAAGAAAGGCCCCCCAGCGTGAGCAGCGCAGCCCTAGAGCCGGAGCCCAGGAGCCGGCCCCACCTGTGGGATATCGAGCTCGGCGAAGTGCTCGTAGCAGCCATCCGAGTTCTCGCCACTAGTCCAGTCGCCGTACACGAGGTCATGCTGCTCCCAGAACAGCGCTGATGTGGCGTTGAAGTCTGTAAAGTGCTCGTGCTCGGAGATGTACACGTGCAGGTTCTGTGGGCAGGGGAGGGGCGGGGAGGGAGCTCAGGGCTGCTGCCGAGAGCTTCTGAAGGCAGCCGGAGAAGGTGCAGACCAAGAGCCAGAGCCGGGGCAGCGGTTAGTGCACTAAGATGAAGGACTTTGTGGTGGGAGTTGGGGGGGGCGGGGGGGGGGGCAGTGAAGAACAGTAGCCCCCAGAACCCATTTTCTCTTTTCCGCACCCCCCACCACAGCTCTCCTGGTCTCAGGCTGTGGCATCCATGAGCAAAAAGCAGTGGAAGAATGGCCAGCCTGCCAATTAGAATTTGGGCTCAGCACCTGACCGGCTTGGTCGGTAGGGCATGCAACTGAGTGAGTTCAAGCCCCATTATTTTTACTTTGAAAACCAAAAAAAAGGGGGCACCTGCGTGGCTCAGTTGGTTAAGCAACTGCCTTCGGTTCAGGTCATGATCCCGGGGGTCCTGGGATCAAGTCCCACATCAGGCTCCCTGCTCAGCCAGGAGCCTGCTTCTCCCTCTCCCACTCCCCCTGCTTGTGTTCCCTCTCTTGCTGTGTCTCTCTCTGTCAAATAAATTAAAAAAAAAAAAATCTTAAAAGAAAACCAAAAAAAAGAGGTAGAATTTGGGGTCAGAAGGGATCGAGTCTCCTTGCATGATCTTCTCCTTTCTCGTACAGCCTGCTTGGTCAGAGGTCTACAGGCTCACGGAGAAAGCCCAGAGCTGCGAGAGGGCTAGCGGACTCCTGACAACACAGAGGAAGTGCAGAGCTGGCCCGCCGACAGAGCCCTCCCTTCTCAGGTGCCCGTGGCCATCTCTGAACAGAGCCCTGAAGGCCCACTGACAGAGAGGCTCGCTGAGCCGTGGTCACCCCTTGCTAACTGGAATTCTGCGCAAGAAGCGAAAGGTGGGAGAAGTCTCAATTACTGGGGTCCGGGCACTCCCTGTGGGGTTCCTGAACCCCAAGCCCTGGCCCCTTGGGACCCAGCAGGACAGCACACGCCTCCCTCTTCTCGCTCGCTCTCGTGGGCTGCTCTGTCTGGCCCCCCGCTCTCTCTCTCTTTTTCCCACTCCTTCCCTTCCCGTCCCTGCACACCTCCCTTTGCAACTTTTTTTTTCTTCTCCCTTTGCAACTTTTAAGACCTGAATGCACTTTTGAAATAGGTTATGTTAGGATCCTGTTAAAACAGTTTTTAAACAGCTGAGTGAGGGATGCTTGGGTGGCTCGGTTGGTTAAGCGACTGCCTTCGGCTCAGGTCATGATCCTGGAGTCCCGGGATCGAGTCCCGCATCGGGCTCCCTGCTCGGCGGGGAGTCTGCTTCTCCCTCTGACCCTCTTCCCTCTCGTGCTCTCTATCTCTCATTCTCTCTCTCTCAAATAAATAAATAAAATCTTTAAAAAAAAAAAAACAAAACAGCTGAGTGAAATCTTTGCTGTCCCTCTTCCCCACAAAACTGAAAGAATTTACTTTTTCCTCAGGGGTGTTGCTAGAGGGACACAGGTCTCATGGGCTGAGGATGGACCCGGAGTTCCTCAACCCTGGACCTGTACCCAGCTGACGGCAACGAGGAACCGGTCTGTCCCAAATGCCCATGTCACTCCCTCTCCCCCCCCGCCACATGGTCGCCTCCCGAGTCTGGCCTCCCAGCCAGCAGTTACCATTAAAGTGTCTTTGGGGAACAGGTTGCGGCTGGCGACGCGCGGAGCCCCCCCGGGGCCTGCCTGGTCCTGCGGGGCCGGCCCTCGGCGGAACCAGCTGCTGATGACCCAGATGATGAAGATCCTGAGGAGGCAAGAGGGTCAGACAGTGAGCCCCAAGCCTTTTGTTTCCGTCGTGGGCCCACCTGACCGCCTTCTGACACAGCACGCGCTGCGGGCCTGAGCCACGGCTGGCAACCAAGGAGGGAGGGCCCCTGAGGAGGCAGTCATCGGACCGGTGAGAAGCCAAGATGCCCCAGACGCCACGTCTGGGGTGCTGCCCCCGTTTCCACGCCGACCCCCGCCCCATGGGTCCTCCAGAAGCCCCCAGTGACCACAGGGACGCAGGGTTTGGACCTTCTACCCTCTGGCCTAGGAAACCTAGTACACCAGGCCCCCAGAATCCCAAAGTCAGGGGCCCCTAAGAACTGGAATCTCAGCGTTTTAGACGCACAGCAGCTTTGAGAGCAACATTTTAGAGCTTAAATCAACTGAACACTTGAGAAGGGGAGAGTGAGTAAAGGGTTAGTCCCAATTGGTAGTAATATTGGCCTAGGCTATTCAGACCAACACAGCTGCTGGAAGCAGCCAACTGGAAAAACTAGGTAAGAATGAATATACTAAGAACATATCAGTACTAGTTTTACATACATAATTACATATCCTGATATAACAAGAATATATTCTGCTCATACATGTTCTTTATCAGGTTTACATATGATTATATGGAAGTACATGTTCTTAAAAACACCAAATGGACAGGACTGTAGATTTACCAGGCAAAAACTGAAGGGAAGACTGGAACCAAAAGAAGGAAAAATGCAGGGGCGCCTGGGTGGCTCAGTCGGTTGGGCGTCTGCCTTCAGCTCAGGTCATGATCCCAGGGCCCTGGGATCGAGTCCCGCATCGGGCTCCTTGCTCAGCAGGGAGCCTGCTTCTCCCTCTGCCTGCAGCTCCCCCTGCTTGTACCCTTGCTCGCTCACTCTCTCGCCCACGCTCTAACAAACAAAAAAATAAAATCTTAAAAAAAAAAAAAAGAAGTAAAAAAGCAACAGAAGCTTCTTTTTGTGTCTGAGGACATTTGCTAGGTATGTTGATGGGTAACAGAAATGCTAGCTGAGGGCCCACACAGGATAACTAGAGAGTTAAGACCCCTCAGGGTGCCACATTCAGGACCAGGGGAGGCAGGCGAGGCCTAGTCTTCCTGGGGAGTCACCAGGTAGACACAGCCAGAGCCCTGAACTTGGCGCAAGGAGACCCCGGATGGATGATGCCCCAAGCAGCCAGCGGCAGAAGGAAAGCACATCCTCTCTGGAGGAAAATATGTTCATCCTAGGCCTGAAATTATTCTTATATATAACTTTGAGATGCTCAGCACAACTGAACTCTAATGTTTCAGAATTTGTTGTTATAAAAAAACCCTCAAAATTTGGTATCAAGAGAGCTTCAGAAGTACCACACTGGGGCACCTGGCTGGCTCAGTCAGTAGAGAATGCAACTCTTCTTTTCTGAAGGCTCCACACCCAGCATGGAACCCAACGCAGGCCTCGAACCCACGACCCTGAGATCAAGACCTGAGCTGAGATCAAGAGTCAGATGTTTAACCGACTGAGCCACCTAGGGACCCTAAACATGTGCCTCTTGATCTTGGGGTCGTGAGTTCAAGCTTTACATTGGGTAGAGATTACTTAAAAATAAAATCTTTAAAAAGAAACAAAATACAAGGTGCCTGGGTGGCTCAGTTGTTAAGTGTCCGCCTTCGGCTCAGGTCATGATCCCAGGGTCCTGGGATTGAGCCCCGCATTGGGCGCCTTGCTTAGCAGGAAGCCTGCTTCTCCCTCTCCCACTCCCCTTGCTTGTGTTCCCTCTCTTGCTGTCTCTCTGTCAAGTAAATAAAATCTTTTAAAAAAGCTGTCCGTTTTAAAAACAAAACAAAACAAAACAAAAAACACATGCACCCCCAAAACCCCCAAACCATGTATTTGCTTTACATTGAAATAAAAACAGAGAGGGCGCCTGGGTGGTTCAGTTGGTTAAGCGACTGCCTTCGGCTCAGGTCATGAGCCTGGAGTCCCGGGGTCGAGTCCCACATCGGGCTCCCTGCTCAGCAGGGAGTCTGCTTCTCCCTCTGACCCTCTTCCCTCTCGTGCTCTCTCTCTCTCATTCTCTCTCTCAAATAAATAAATAAAATCTTAAAAAAAAAAATAAAACAAAAACAAGGGGCGCCTGGGTGGCTCAGTCGTTAAGCGTCTGCCTTCGGCTCAGGTCATGATCCCAGGGTCCTGGGATCGAGCCCCACATCGGGCTCCCTGCTCAGCGGGAAGCCTGCTTTTCCCTCTCCCACTCCCCCTGCTTGTATTCCTTCTCTCGCTGTGTCTCTGTCAAATTAATAGATAAAATCTTTAAAAATAAATAAAACAAAAACAAAAAAACCCCAGCATTTATATGAATCAACATGTAAAAGGATCACAAAGAAATAAAACAAAAACAAAAAAACCCCAGCATTTATATGAATCAACATGTAAAAGGATCACAACTAATACAATAATGACGAATGATGGTTATCCGTAGGTGATTTTTACATTCTTCTTTAGGCTTTTCTTTTTGAATTTCTTTCTTACTTTTTAATGAACAAAAGAAAAGCCTCCAAACAAAACTATAGCAGATTGCTAGATGTTTCCCAATATCCATCTTCCCCTTTTGTCTCAAAAAGGAAACTCTTAAATTTTAGCTGGACCCCTTGGCTACCCAGAATAAAGACTGTAATTCCAGCCCTGCTTATAGGTAGGGAGTGGACACAGGGTGAAGTCCTGGCCAATAAAATTTAAACAACGTGTACTGTGCTGGGCTTTGGGAAAGTGTAGTTAAAGAGACAGAGCATGCCTCCTTGATTTCTTCTTCCCTCCTAGAATGCAGATGCGATGGCTGGATCTTCAGCAGCTATCTTAAGCCATGCAGATAAGGGGCAAAACCTAGTGATGGTTGAACAAAAAGCAAGAAAGAATCTGGGTTGCAGAAGACTACAGAATCCTGGTCTACGCCAGAACAGTACATGAGAGAGAAATAAAATACTTCTCTTGTGTTAATTCAGGTCTCTCAGACACATGCTGCTGTGTAATTATTAAATGAGAGAAGTACTTATTAATTACTATGAAAAGCAATATAGCAGAGATTAAGTGCTCAGCCTCTAAGCTGCAATACCTGGATCTGAAGCCCAGCTCTATCTCTTATCAACTGTGTGACCTCAGGCGAGACTCCTAACCTCTCCAGACCTCTGTTTCCTCAACAGTTAAAATGGGGATAATGACACTACCTACCTCCTGGGGTTGTTTGTAAGCATTAAATGCATGCATATGTATCTCTATCTAAGTATATACACATATGCACCCATGATAAATATATATCATCCAGAATGAAGCCTGGTATATACTCAGTAAGTACTTTAGAAGTGTTAGCTATTATTAGTTTCATCATAGGAAAAGAGGCAGACAAACCCTTTGGAATGGAAAACTACTACAAGGGAATTCTAGTGTAGGTGGGCCCCAAACCACACCGGAGGGCAGGATCAGGCACAGGGACTGGTCTCTGCCTGTAGCAGCTCTGGAGCCCTGGGGTCTGGGGTCTCAGGGGCCACGGCCCAGCTGAGCCATCTGCTGCCTCCCCAAGAAGTCCCTGACGCACAACGGCCGAGGAAGGTCTGGAACTGGTAATCTCGGGGGAACCCTCCACCTCCAAGAGAGGCTCCCATTTTAGTACATATGCCAAGGAAGGATGTGGGAGCAAGGACACCCACTTGCAGCCCTGCCTTGGCTTAGTGTGTGGCCTGCAGGAGTCCCAACCCCTCTGGGCTTCTGGGTCCCCATGTGTAAAATGAGGCCGACTGGACCAGACAGTTTTTTTAGGGATTCCAGATCCCCAGTGCCCTGAAGAGTACCTGTGTGTTACCTGCACACCCACAGTTTTGTGGGTCCTCTCAGAGGGCACATGGCCACACCCCTCCACCCACACATCCCAGGCCATGAAGCCCTACCCTCTGACAACAGGCCTATAGGGGGCTGGCGCCCCCCTAATGCTTTTCAACCTCCTGGACTCCGCAAAGAAAAGAGACGTTCAATCTTCCCTCCCACCCCACCTAGGTATCCTACATTCACGGGCTCAGAAAGATGTTAAACAGATGAAAAGACAGAATGAAAACTCTCCCACCTCATCCATTTTCCCACCTGGTTCCCGTCCCATCCCCCACGCCCAGGTAACCAGGGGGTATAACGTGAACAGGCGCTGAAAACCAGACTCCACTCTCTCTCCCCCGAAAAAGGCCATTCCCATGCAGTCTACTCAAAGCTATGGAGAGTTCACAGGTCCCTGAAAACAAACCCTGAACCCCACTGTCAGAATGCCAGATGAGATGTTCTCCGGACCTCCAGCCAGGCTGTTCGGTGCGGCCTGGTTCTAAGGGAGGAAATGAGCCTAAGCTGGGACTGTATTAAAAATGTCTATCTGAAGGAAGTGCCCTATGTACTGATGTGGAGAGATTTCTAAGATATACTGTTAATGAGAAAAAATCAAGGTGCAGAACTCTGTAAAATAGGCTGCTCTTATGTAAAAGCAAAGGGAAAGATAAAAATAATCTTGATTCGCAGCTGCTTGGAGCATGAAAAAAAAAAAAAGAAGAAACGGACAGGTAAGAAACTCCAGGTTCTTACTGGACACGGCGGGGCAGAGTGGAATGGAGAAGGGAGGGGACGGAGGCTCCGCAGTGGAAGAAGATCGGGGGCACGTCAGGGATGGCGCCCAAGCGTACGGGCGGAACAGCGAGGAATTTCGCATCCTGCGTGGCACTGTCGGAGGGTACCAGCCGGCGGGCCTGGCCCACACCAAAATGTGACTGTTGACTGCATCTGGGATGGTGGGGATCCCCCCCCCCCACCCGCGCCAGCAGTTTCTCTTTGTAATTTTCTAAAGTTTTTTAACACTCAACAACAAAAGTGATCCTGGCCAACTCTGGGCGGGCGCCAGAGCCTCGTAGCATCCTCTCGTGACCTGCGAGCTGACTGGCAGTCTTCCGAACTCTTGAGATGGAAACTCAGGCACAAGAGGGACCATCAGCCAACCAGGACACACGGCTCGGAGGCGGGGGGACTGAGATGTGGGAACAGACCTGCGCTCCTACACATCATTTGACTCTACCAGCGCCCCCCCGCCATTTCCGTAGCTGATCCTCCAGTGTGGACAAGCAGGCTGTTTGCAGTTTTTCTCTCATTTCAACAACTGTCTGTGAGCATCCTTCTACAATCTCACTGAAGGCAAACTGCAGGGGTGTGCTTATGGGATGGCCACCGATCCGTTACGCTTTTGTTACTTTCTTTCTACACATTTGTATTCAAGTTTACTTTCTACAATAAGTGTGTATTATTTATAAGTTTAGAAAAAAAAATAAAAAACGAGTAAGACAGCCTGGAAGAGACAAGTAGTTGGCTCACCCAAACCACTCTCTTCTTACTCAGGAACCGAATTCCTGCTTTCAGCAGGGTGCTTGGTTTCCCAGAATAAAGACATTTCCCAGGCTCCCTGGTAGCAGGCCACGGCCATGTGAGGCCATCCTAGCCAAGGGGAGGACTGGTTTAAACAACTCGGGCCACGTGAGGATGTGGAGAAAAAGGAACCCTCCTGCACCGCTGGTGGGATTGCAAATGGGTGCAGCCGCTGTGGACAACAGCATGGAGGTTCCTCAAAAAGTTAAAAACAGAACTGCCCTAGACCTAGCAACTGCACTACTAGGTATTTACCCAAAGGATACAAAAATACTGATTCAGGGCGCCTGGGTGGCTCAGATGGTTAAGCGTCTGCCTTTGGCTCAGGTCATGATCCCAGGGTCCTGGGATCAAGTCCCGCATCGGGCTCCCTGCTCCTTGGGAGCCTGCTTCTCCCTCTGCTTCTCTCTCTCTCTCTCTGTCTCTCATGAATAAATAAATAAAATCTTAAAAAAAAAAAATACTGATTCAAAGGGATACATGCACCCTGGTGTTTACAGCAGCATTATTTACAACAGCCAAATTTTGGAAGCAGTCCAAATGTCCATCCACTGATGGATGAATGGATAAAGATGATGTGTGTGTGTGTGTGTGTGTGTGTGTGTGTAATGGAATATTACTCAGCCATAAAAAAGGATGAAAGCCTGCCATTTGCCAGACATGGATGGAGCTAGATGCTAAGCAAAATAAGTCAGAGAAGGATTTCACTCATCTGTGGAATTTAAGAAACAAAACAAACAGGTAAAGGAAAAAAAAAGAGAGAGAGGGAGAAAGACAAACCAAGAAACGGACTCCTCACTACAGAGAACACACTGCTGGTTAGCAGAGGGGAGGTAGGTGTGGGATGGGTAAAATGGGTGACGGGGATGAAGGAGTACACCTGTCATGATGAGCACCAGGTGATGCACGGAACTGTTGAATCACTATATTGTATACCTGAAACTAATACACTGTAGGTTAACTGACTAGAATTTATTTATTTATTTTTAAAGATTTTATTTAGTTATTTATTTGACAGACAGCGAGGGAGGGAAACACAAGCAGCGCGGAGTGGGAGAGGGAGAAGCGGGCTTCCTGCAGAGCAGGGAGCCCAATGCGGGGCTCGATGCCAGGACCCTGGGATCATGACCTGAGCCGAAGGCAGACGCTTAACAACTGAGCCACCCAGGCGCCCCAAACACACTGGAATTTAAATAAAACCTTAATAAACCAACTACCAAACAACTCTGCCATGGAACTCCTTATAGCTGATAAGGACAGAAAGTGCCTGCTTAAATGCAGAACCTGTCTCTTGAACATTTCGCTAAAATATGTGTCTGGAAAGACAAAGAAATGTCCATTTTGCAGATGGGCAAAAAAGGCCCAGAGCAGAGAAGGGAACTGTCACAGAACTGCCTACAGAGGCAAGAACTCAGCCCCAGGAAATCTCCCCACCCCCACCCAGCATCTCCCGAGGGCCTTGGTGAGAGGCCGGGCTTCCAGAAGGCAGGCCCTGCGCTCCCACAGCCCAGGAAATGACCATTTGAATGCACCCATACAAAAAGCACCACCAGCCAGGCACAAACGGACAGCCTGTAGGACTCCGCTTATATGAGGTAAGTAGAGCAGTCAAGTTCATAGCGATGGAAAGCAGAATGCTGAGTGCCAGGGGCTGGAGGGAAGGCAAATGGGGGGTAAGTGCTTAATGGACACAGTTTCAGTTTGGGGAGATGAATGGGATGGTTGGTGGTGACTGTTGCACAACTGTGCACTTAAAAATAGGTTTTAAAACGGAAGGTTTTAGGTAACGTGCATGTTGTGGCTAAGCTGTGTGTGTGTCCCGGTTCCCTCCCCGCGAACCCCCCTCCCCGGCCAATTCATATGTTGAAGTTCTAACCCCGAGTACTTCAGTGGCTGTATTTGGAGACAGGGCCTTTAAACAGGTGATTAAAGCTAAGTGAGGCCACTAGAGCGGGCTGGTGTCCTTACGAGAGATTAGGACACAGACACACACAGTGGGAATGCCACGTAGGGACACAGGAAATGACCATCTAAGCCAAGGACAGAGGCCTCAGAAGAACCCAGACGTGTTGACACCCTGATCTCAGACTTGTAGCCTCCAGAACTGTGAGAAAGTAAATTTCTGTTGCTTAAGCACCGCCACCCCCGGACTGAGCTATTTGTTACAGCAGCCCTAGCAAATACAGTATATTTTAGGGGCGCCTGGCTGGCTGAGTCGGTAGAGCTTGGGACTCTTGACCTTGGGGTCGTGGGTTCAAGCCCCACATTGGGTGTAGAGATCACTTAAAGATAAAATCTTAAAAAACAAACAAACAAAAAACCCCACAACAGTGTATTTTACCACGACCACAACAAAAAAACTCTGTCATATTAAAAGAAGAAAAAGATCTCCACCGATAGGGTGATGGTCATCCCCAGTGACTTTTTCCTTTCTTCTCTATGCTTTCTTTATTTGAATTTTTTTCAGTGAACAAAACCAACCGTCATCTGCTCACCTGAACAGCACGCCTTTGATGACCTGCCAGGCGTTGGGTGCTGGCTGGGGTGGTGGGTTCTGGGGCTGGGTCTCCGCCGGCGGGTCCCTCCCGATGCTGCCATTGCTGGTCACCTGCAGGAAACAAGAGACGAGCTTAAGGAGGGCGGGTGCCACCTGAGGCACTGGGGCTGTCTTAGGCACCACTGCATGCCAAGGCCCAGCACAGGGCTAAGCACAGAGTAGGTGCTTGATCAATAAGTGGAGAATGAATGAATAAAATCACCCAGGAAGGGTGGTGGATCTTATTCCTTCAAGACAAAAACACTCCCCCAAAACCTATTCTGTGCTGGTGACACAGAGGTGACCGAGACAGCCCTGTGCTGCCCTCCTTGGGATCACAGTCCAGTGCGGGGAGCCAAAGAGTCCCCAGACAGGGATGATCCAGAGTGCACAGGATGGGGTTATAGGATCCCAGAGGGGACATCTGATCCAGCCTGGAGGTCAGGGAGGGCTTCCTGGAGGAAGGGACCATTGGAGCTGAGGCCTACAATGTAACAAGGGGGCAATGCAGAGGAGGCAGCGAGTACAGAAAGGAAAGGGGGAAAAAAGTCTGGTGGTGAGGACTGCCCACACTGCTCCCTGAAGCCAGAGCTCAGGATGCAAGGTGGCCACTGGGGAAAATGCAGAAGGGTGACCAGAGCCAGATTCTGGAAGGCCCGGGTTTGTCTGAGAGGTCCTTCCCTGGGCAAACAGTTCCTAAGGCCTCCTCTGTGGCTAGCCCTGTGCGGCGCCTGTCCCCTCCAGGGGCTCCTATCCAGCAGGAGACAGACGTAGAAAAACACAGCCAGAGTGTGAGCCACGACAGAGGTCCGTGCCGCAAACAGCACACACTGCCCTGTGGGGCCAGAGCCCTGAGTACCTCCACTCTGCGGCCGGGCAAAGGGAGGCTCGGGGGGGCTAAGCCATTTGTCTGGGTCACTCACGAAGGACAAGGGCAGCGGGATGACAAGGGCATGGGTAGGCCAGGGAGGTCAGGCAGGGCTTCCCAGAAGAAGAATCTCCACTCAGAAACAGAAGCGCAGAGGCAGGGAATTCCGTGACGCCAGGAAGGGCCTGAGATGGGGAAGCTCTTCCCGCCCTCCTTGCACCTGCTGGTTCCCGGGTCCTCTCCCTCCTCCCAGCTCTGTACCCTCACCGCTCCGCCTTCCAGAGGCAGGGTCAGGCCTGTCACGGTCACCGTTGGGCAGAAGCACCGCCCAGCACAGAGCAGGGGCTCAGTAAACCCCTGTGGAATCAACATGTGCTCCCCGAACGGCCTGCCCGCAGCACCCAGGCCCCCCACACCACTCCCCTCCAGGCCGCCTCTGCCCAGCCTTCCCCCCGCCGCAGCCCCGAGCCCACCCCCTCCCTGGCGTTTGTCATGCCTTGTCCCCTTCACCAGCAAGAGCTCATCCCTGTATCTCCCGATGTGCAGGACACCGCCGTGGCAGAAGGTGGGGGCCCTGGGATCCCGCGGGTCCTGGCTGGGAGATCTTGGGCACGTCACTTCCCGTCTCCGACCCAAGGGCCAGGCTGATAAAGTACTGGTGTGTTACAGGCAGAAACTATCTCCTTTGTGCGTTGAAAAAAATGTTTCCTGAGCACCTACTATGCGCCACGCTCCATGGTAGGCAGTGGGCAGACAGCTCTGGGCCCTGCCCTCCTGGAGCTCAGGGTCTAGAGGGGAACACACCCACGGAACAGTCAACGGCATCATTCAAACTGGTAAATGGGAAAAGCGCTCTGGAGGAAAGCAGCAGGGGCAGATGGGGTGGGGACAGGGAGCCACTTTGGATTAGGTAGTCAGAGGCCTGCCTGAGGAGCTATTTTTGAAATTTGGGTGAAGGGCATGTTGGGAGAGGGACAAGTTCCGGGAAGTGGTTGGCTGGGAGACCAGGCGGGGTCAGAGACAGACACAGGGCCCCCTCATTCAGGGCTGGCCTTGCTCCTGGAGCACCGGGGGCCAAGTAAGGCTTTCCAGCAGGTCTGAGCTGATTTCCGTCAAGAAACAGAAAATGAGTCCAGGCCAGGATTTGAACCCAGGTCTGGTTGACCCCCAGGTCTGTTGGACCTGGCTCCACTCAAGGTCCAACCAGGTCTGTTGGACCTGGTTCCACCCAAGCTGGCTGGAAACCCTCCCACAGCAACGTAAATGGAAACTGCAATGAGAAGCCACTTCACAACGCTGGCCACAATCAAAATGATGGACAATCACAAGTATCGGTGAGAGCGTGCGGAAGCCAGACCGACTGTATACTAGTGGTGGGGAAACGGAGCTGGGGCTTTGAAAAGTACGGCAGAGAATTAAAAAGCGACATGTGTGGGGCGCCTGGGTGGCTCAGTCAGTTAAGCGTCTGCCTTCGGCTCAGGTCATGATCCTGGAGTCCTGGGATCGAGCCCTACGTCAGGCTCCTCGCTCAGCACGGACACTGCTTCTCCCCCTGCTCGTGCTCCCTCACGCGCTCTCTCAAATAAATAAATAATCTTTAGAAAAAAATCTGTTTAAATAAAATAAATAAAAACAAAAAGTGAAACGTGCACCTGCCATACAAACCAGCAGCCCCACTCCTAGGTCTCTACCCAAGAGAAAGGAGAACGTACAGACAGGGGAAAGCTTATGCGCAAACGCTCACGGGGGCATTATTGGTAATAGCCAGGAACACCTGCTAACGAACATGGTGTATCCATACAATGGAATGCTACTCAGTCATAAAAAGGAGCCCTGCTGGGGGCAGAGTGGCCGCAAAAGGGAACTGGAATGTTCGGAGGGGATGGGGACCGGGTGGCAATGGTTGTACTGCACTAAACGCCGTCGAACTCCATACTGACGACAGGTGAATGCTGTGTTATCTATTATGCTTCAAAAGAAAGGTAACTCTCCTGTGGCTTCCACTTCCCTTGGAGTAAAGGCGAAATCTTCACGTTGACCTCCACGCCTTGGCCTGATCTGGCTCCCTCCCTGCCTCTCTACTCTCACCCCTCTCCCCTCATTCACTGGCTTCAGCCACATGGCCTCTCACTGTTCCTTCCAACAGCCAGGCATCTGTCACCTCAGGGCCTTTGCATGGGCTGTTCCCTTTATGTGAGAGGTTCCCGCCCCTCTCTATCTGCATGCCTCCCTCCTTCCTCTCCTTCAAGTCTTTGTTCAAATGTCACCTCCTCAGGGGCCCCTGGGTGGCCCATCCGTTAAGTGACTGACTCTTGGTTTCGGCTCAGGTCATGATCTCAGGGTTGTGGGACCGACCCCACGTCAGGTTCTGTGCTGAGCAGAGTCTGCTCAAGTTTCTCTCTCCCTCTCTCTGCCCCTCCCCACGCTAGCTCTCGCTCTCCCTCTTTCAATAAATCTTAAAAAAATAAAAAAAAAAGTCACTTCCTCAGCGAGGCCTTCCCGAACTACCTTGTTTAAACTGCAACCCTCTCAGCCACCCCTCACTTCCTAACCTCTTCTCCAGCTTTACTCTGTCCATGGCATTTACCACCATCTGACCCGCTCTGTATTTTATCTTATTCACTGTTTTCCTGTCCATTCTTCTATCCCCGCTGCCCAGCCCTTAAATAGAACATGAGCTCCAAGAGGGCAGGGACTGTTCTGTTCACAGCTGTAGCCCCAGCATTGGCCTGGGGCCTTGTATGGAATGGGGACTCAGTATACATTAGCCGAAGGAATGAAAGGCAGGGCTGAGGACCATGTGTCTGAGCCCCTGGCTGGAGAAGCAGGTTGGCAGGAGCATGAGACTGCTGAGGGTCCACCCACTCTGTGCTAGGCCCCACAGGCCCGCGGAGGGTATGGCGGCTATGGACACAGTAGTGACTACGACACAGTTCCTGCTCTGGGACCCACATATCCAATCTCACACGCAACCTACAGAACCAGTGGCTAAGGGACCCAGAAGGAGCTGAGACCATGAAGTTGGGCCGGGAGCATGAAGACAGGCTTTCCAGCACATCCTCACTGACTGCCTGATCCACCATCGGAATTCCATCCCAGCCCAGCCTCTGCCTCAACCTCTGTTGATTCCACAAACACCCGGCACCTGCTCTGTGCCTGGTCCCAAGCTGGGCAGTGCAGGGGCCACAGTATTGACCACAGCAGTCCTGGTTCTTCCCTCGAAGGGCTCTCAGTCCAGCGGAAGAGACAGGCAGATGGTATAACCCAGAGCAGACAGGCCTGGGACAGGAGAGCCCAGGGGCCGTGGGAGCCCTGACCCAGTCTGAGAGGGTCAGAGAGGGCTTCCTAGAGGAGGGGATGTCTGAGACGTACAGAACTAGTAAGGACCAACCAGGTAAAGAAGGGAGAAGTATGTGCAAAGGCAATAAAGAGAAAGCAAGGCACACTGCTGGAAATAAAAGAGCTTCACAGTGGGTGACACTCCCCTCTCCCAGTGGTTCTCAAGCAGGGGTGATTTTGCACCTCCCCAGGGGACATTTAGCAACGTTTGGGACATTTCTGACTGCCACAGCCGGAAAAGGGGTATGTGTGCTACTGACATCTAGTGTGTAGAGAGGCCAGGGATATGCTGCTAAACATCCTACAATGTACGGGACAGCCCCCCACGACAAAGAATTAACCCACCTTTCAAAATGTCAATAATGCTGAAGCTGAGAATCCTAGTCTAGTCTGAAGAAAATTCAGATCGTGCAAGGATTTGATCTACTACAGAATTTGTACTTCACCCTGAAGGCAAAGGAATAAGTCTTGAAAGGTTTTAAGCAGAGGTAGGACAAGAGAAAATCAGGGGATCCCTGGAAGCCTGGCAACGGGGGTGACCTGAACCCTAGTCTCTCTGATCCACCCTCCTCCCCCCCCCCAGTAATCGACAGAAACTCAGAGGGGGGAAAAGACCTTCCTTCAGCAAGACCAGAAAGCCCCCCGATGACAAGGGACTGAGTCTTCATTCTAGAGCTAACTCAACAAATATTTCCTGAGGCTGCCCCCAGGCCAAGCCCTGCTTACAGATGCCGAGCCAAACATGTTGGGCTCTATCACGCAAATCTCATCCTGGAGTCCTCCCCAAGTGATATTATTTGCCCCTCCTCTGGGCTCCCTCAGTCCCTGGCACAGACTTTTGTCACCATCCTAGTCATTCAGGATTATAATTCTCTACATGTCAGTCTTCTCTCCCACTCCACTGATGGCAGGGACATGGCTGGAACCATCTCTGGGACCCATCGCATGGCTGGCCACCCTGTGCAACCCCTATACTTACCACTGGAGAAACGAGGGCCCAAAGAAGGCAAGGAACTGGCCCAAGGTCACACAGAAAGTCAGCTTCCTTCTTCCCTCTCAACCTGCACTCCCCTTCCCTGTGCTGCCTCCCACATGTCAGTGACATCCCAGTGGGTGGGTCGACAGCACCTTGCTGTCACTCCATCCATTCCCTAAATGCCTGAAGGATGGATGCCTGAACTAGTAACGTTCTGCAGCTTTGGTTTAGTTGAGGCAGCAATGGATCAGAAGTGATCAGCACCTGGACTAACTCCCCCGTAGGACTAGTTTATGCTGAAAGCACACCCATCCCAGTCCTGACCACCCTGGGTCAGCAATGTCTGGTCACTTCTACATGGAATGGATCCCAAACCCGAGCTGGGTGACCTTCTGCAAGCGCCTCAGTCTCATTCTTCCTGGGACTCCCGTCTGTAAAGTGGGTCTGTCGGCCTCCACAGCCCGTGCCCTTACCCACGATGATCCCCTGACTTCCCCAGAGCTAGAAAACTCCCAATTAATCCATCACTGCCCACATCCCAGGTACTGCAAGGGAGACCCTAAACGCCGGTCCACTTTAGGAAAGGTCTTGGAGCCTGGAATCGCAGAGTCGAGAACCCGGGCGCTTGGGTGTAAGTCTGCGCCCCTCCGTGCCACTGTCTCCCGGCTCGAGCAAGGAGCCTGATGGCCGCCCAGCGCGAGCGTGCAGGGGACCCGGCGTGCAACAGGGCCCCGCTCCCCGCACTGTCCGGCCTCCAGGGCTGCCCGGCCCCGCCTGGGCCCGGTACTCAAGGTCCCTCTGGGCAAGGAGCCCCCAGTGCACCGGATTCCGCGAAGGGGGGCAGGACACGCCCCGTGGGAGGCCCCCCGGGTGGGGAAGAACCCCTCAGGCCCCTCTCGGCCTCCGTACCTGACCGGAGCCGCCTCCCCCGGCTGCAACCACGGCGCTGCCGGCCCCGTCCGCCTCCTGCGCCGCCGCCATCTTCCCGCTCCGGGTCCCCGCCCCCGCCGCCAGCCCCGCCCCGTCCCCGACGGTGCCCGCGCGATCGCGCGAGATTTCACACTTCGCCCGGCCCGCCAGCTACCGTATCCGGCAGGAGCGCTTTAAGCCACGCCTCGAGAGAGAGCCGCTTCCGGCTAAGAACGACCCAGCCCGGCTGTCGTACTGCACCTCCTCTCTGCCGCCTGTCTTTCACCTAGTAGACGTTCTCCCTGCTTTGAACTTCCGGGCTTTCTCGGCCAGCGTAGGAACTTCCCACAGGCTCCATTCCCTTTGCTTTCTCGAGTAAATCCGCCTCTTCCATTTATGTGAGCCTTGTAGACCATCCTGCCCGCCTCGCCGATTCTCCGAGGCCTTTCCGTTTTCGTGTTTCTTGAGCTTTCCCGGCCACCGTAACGCCTCAAAACGTTCCGCTCGAAGCGCTCCTCTCCTGTGGTCAATGAACCTTCGTGGCCGCCGTACCTAGACTCAGAGGGCGGGCCTTCGGCCGATGCCGTCACCTTCGGACCCCGCTTCCTAAAGCAAGCCTTTCTCCTAAGTCCACTTAGGTTAGAGCTTTCCCGTGCGTTCAGAATTACTATTTCAGGGTTCTCACAGCCGCCAGCCCCTCCCCAAGCCTTCGGGCCACCTAGGTTAGCCCGCACGCGCGCTCCGGGGTGATCTTTGCTTCCTAGCAGATTTCGCAACTCTGGACTCGGCTTCAAGGGCTCAAAGAACTTCATACTTTTTCCTAGCTACGTATCTTTGTACTGTTCCAAGCCTGGGCACGTGTTGCGAGACCCCTGGCCTGGGGACGGTGGTATGGAGGATCAGAAAAAACTATCAGCGGCTCTTAATCTATGAGTTGAGTGGAGGTGTCACCTGGATTTAAACTCTGGTTGTGCTGCTGACCTTCTAAATGATCCCGGACAAGTGACGTATCTCTTTGGGTCTCAGTTTCTTCCTCTGTTTTATAAACGAAGCATTTCCCTCCCGCTTATGCCCCCCCCCAGGGTTTTGGAAAGACCTAGTGAGGTCACGAATGTAAAGCACCTACCCACCCAACCCCACCTCACTCTTAGCAAGTGATCGATATCTTGCACTCTTATTAGGGACCTTACAGATTACCTGAAAGGGAGAGCAGGCTTTGCATTGGGATTCTCCAATTATTGATTTCTCATTTTACTATCTACTCCTTCCACTTTCCTCTTGGTCTGGTAATACCACCTCCTCCAGGAAACCTTCCCTGCTGGCCCCCAGGCTGTGCGAGCACCGCCTCCCAGTCTTCCCCGTTCCCTGAGCTCCGCAACCGCATCCCGGCTCACTTTATGTCATCACTGTCAGGGACGGATGTGGCACGTCTTGCTCTCGGCCGGGGGGAAGCCGAGGGCTGTCACGCTCCCTGCTCTCCCTCCAGCACTGCCCCAGGGGATGATTGCTAAGTGAAAGGATGAAACTCTGAGGGTGGAAGGTTGATGACCTACCTCTGAGGACCAACACAAAGGCAAGAAGTTACCTTGGAGAATGTCTTTCCCAGTGCACTCACAGATAGTAAAGAGTAGCAAGAACGGGGGCGCCTGGGTGGTTCAGTCGTTAAGCGTCTGCCTTCGGCTCAGGTCATGATCCCAGGGTCCTGGGATGGAGCCCCACTCCGGGCTCCCTGCTCCGCAGGAAGCCTGCTTCTCCCTCTCCCGCTCCCCCTGCTTGTGTTCCCTCTCTCGCTGTGTCTCTCTGTCAAATAAATAAAATCTTAAAAAAAAAAAAAAAAAAAACGAGTCTGTGAAATTGTATGCCCAGTTGGTTAAGTGTCTACCTTCGGCTCAGGTCATGATCCTAGGGTCTTGGGATCAAGCCCCTCTTTGGGATCCCAGCCCCTCTGCCCCACCCCCCGCTTGTTGTGCTCTCTCTCGCTCTCAAATAAATAGAAATTTTTTTAAAACATGGTAGGCCCAGTTTTTAAGTCTACGCATGAAATGAACATATTGATTGAAGTCCACCAGACAAGAGGCAGATTGAGACTTGTGGGCCAATTTTTTAAAGCACAAAATTACATACACAAGCTTAAGTAGAGGACCACAGAAAACCCAGGCAAGTGAGGGGCTTTTTTTTCCCCCAAAGATTTTATTTATCCATTCATGGAAGAGAGAGAGAGGCAGAGGGAGAAGCCGGCTCCCAAGGAGCAGGGAGCCCGACGCGGGACTCGATCCTAGGACCCTGGGATCATGACCTGAGCCAAAGGCAGACGCTTAACCATCTGAGCCACCCAGGCGCCCAAGTGAGGGGCTTTAGAAACGTAATCTCCAGTTTCACTGTAACCCAATCTCTGCTTTCAACTCTAGATACAAAATGCTCCGGTCTGCCCTCCTCTCTCCTAAACTGCAGAGTCCTGGTCTGTTGGAGCATGAAGGTCTCTCAGCTAGACTGTGACTTTAGGAGCCCTGCGAAGCCCTCCCCCATGTCTGCTGAGTGACCATATTCTTCCTTTCCTACTAATAGCTAAGTGAGTCACAGCCCACAGCCCCTCTGTCCTCCACTAGGGGACGCCCAACACCCACCAGAAGATGCGATTGCAGGTTCGAAGGGAGGAAAGGATGGGAGCCCTACACTTTTGGGTCCTGAGGGAAAAGGCTTGGGGGTCCAGACTCCGAGTCTGAGGGAAACGAAGTCTGGGGTCCCAGACTCCTGAATTCTGGGGGAAGAGGCGTCTAGGGGCCTGGACTCCGGGGTCCTAGGGAGAGTGGGACTGGGGTGGAGGCCTGAGAAAGGAAGGAGGAATCTGGGAAGGGCACCAGGATTGGTTGGAAGCAGAACTGGCCTGGGCAGTGGTTTGGTTTGGCTTGAGTCCGTGGGAAACAAGTGGACAGAGCAGGGATTGTTCCTCTAGGGTCCCCCCTCCCCATCACCCCCGGGGTTTGGCAGCCTCAGCTCTTCCCAGGCCCTGGGGACTTGGGGGCATTTCCCACAGCCCCTCCCCAAAGCCCCCGTTTTCTACTAGACTCCCAGCTGCCCATCCTCAAGACCTGGGAAAGCTGCCCCAAGAGTGCTGAGAGGCTGGCTGGAGATTAATGCCAAGCAGATTAGGAGAAACACAGGCCCTGGATCCTCAGAGGCCAACAGCCCCACCCCAGGGACTTGGGGGCCCCAGACCACCCTCTACTCCCTCGGGACCCAGAAGGGCAGGCCCCCAGCCCTCTACCTAGGGGCCCCAGCACTGTCCTCTCTGATTGCACCTCCTCTGCTCTTACTTGCACACCCTGTGCTTTTTGCCGGCAATGCCCCACTGCCCAGATACCATTGCCCAACCACTGACCGACCAAGCGAGTCCCCCTCCCCCCCACAATCCAGCAACAACAGCCCCAACCACACTACACTGTGATGCATCCCCTGGGACCAGCCCAGCCAGCTTTTCTAGGGGGCCCTCCCCTATCCAAGGGGGCTGCACCCAGGCCTTGATCTCTTCACTTCTTCTTTTCTTCATTGCACAAATCGCCGTCTGAAGTCATCTTCTCCCTTGGTCGTCTTGCCCATCCTCTGCCTTCCCCCTCCCTATCCCCCCGGCCACTCTGTGGCCTCAAGACGGAACAGAGCTCCTGATCCTGAATGGGAGCTCAGAAGATGTTACTACTGTCGCTAATAAGGAGAGAGCAGCTAACAGAACACACCACACAGCCGTAATCACTAAAACTGCGTAGAATTGGGCCTGGACCCAATTGATAGCTTTTTTTTAAGGGGCCACAGAAAGCAGGGCTCTCTGTCTTTTCCCTGCAGTGTTCCCTGGGCCTAGCAGGGTTTCAATAAATACAGGTTGGACAAGCATATAGGAACGGTCACAGAGCACACCTTTTGTAGATCGATCCTCTGGGGTCCCAGCCAAACTGGGCTCTGACTTCCTATGCTCAGTAGTGACCTCTGGGCACCAGTCTCCCCTCTGACACAGGACCACGGGACACCTCACTGTGACGTACATTTAAAGGATCCGTCCAGGGCCTAGATAGTGCCAGAGGCCGCTGGAAGTTAGCTGTGTTCGTGGTCTGTCATTTTACGTATGAGAAAGCCAGACCTTGGTGAAGGACAGTTTCTAATTTTGTTGTTATAGTTATTCCTTGTTATTATTCACCTCTTTATTCCCACTGACCAAGTTAGGGCTACATACATCCAATGGGCACTCAATAACCATTGGATGGACTGAATCAGTCCCACCATCTTGGCCCCTGAGTTCTTAAAAATCAACCACATGGAAGAAAATAAATGGTTTTTTAAATTAATTTATTAATAAGAAGAACAGACGAGCGTTGGGAGCAGGATGCTGGTAGCTGCTGAGAAGTAGGGGGTAGGTCAGAGGAGCCAAGGGGTCTGGACTCTCCCTTCCCCCCTGGTCGGGGCCCAGCTGTTACTGGTCTCCCTTCAGCATAGAAAGTAACTGGTCAGTGAAAACCCCTGCGTAGGTGCTCACAGCTGCTGTGCTTTTGTTGTATATTTCCCTGGGGAGAAAGGACAGACGTTCAGAGCAGGGAGGAGGCTGGGAGTACCCTGAGTCTAAGGGAGAAACAAGCTGGGGGCCCAGAATCATGTGTCCCGAGGGAAAAGGTGGCAGGAACCCAAACTCCTGGATCCCTAGAGAGGACAGGGCTGGGATCTCAGAATCCAGGGTTCGGACAGGGCTGGGGGCTGGGACTCCTGGTTCCTAGTGGGGGCAGGTCGATGATACCTGATTTTCTCATCCATGGTGGTCAGGTATGTCTTCTCGTACAGCTCCTGGGCGGCTGACTTGGCTGTCCCCCAGTACCTATAGACTGATTCCTGTATCTGGGTGAATAGGGAGGAGGGGGTGGCTTCATCTTGCTGGGGCATGTGGGCCCCCTGGACCTCTGCAGGGGGAGAGTGCGTTAGGAGAGCCGAGGAGCCTGCGCAGGGGACAATGAGGCAGGGAAGGAGGGGGCAGGGGGAGGGCCAGGCAAGAACTGGACTGGGAAGATGCTTGAGGCTCCTCTCATCCCCCTCACAGACCCCTGGTCCCCTGCTGAACACACTCACCACATCCCAATACCAGGAGGACAAGAACCAGAACCAGGAGGTAGCGGATGCCCATGGCTTCAGAAGACCTGGAATGCTGAGAAGGCCGTGGGGCAAGGTCATTGGTGACATCTAGTCCTGGGGTTCTCCCCCACCCCCGCCAAACGCAAGAGGAGGGGGCTGGGCTTCCCCTCTCCCCTGCCCTCCCCCCCACAGCTGAGTCCAGTTGCCAATGCATCTGCTTGGGCCCCATTGTCTAACACTTCGTGATTCTACTCCTGATTCTCACACCTGCCTTTAAACATCCATTCATTCCCTCAAGAAGCATTTCTTGAGCACCTAACCGTGTGTGCCAAGCACAGCCCCTGGGCCCAGCTGTGACCGTAGGCGACAGCCCTGCCCTTCCACAGCCCATGTGAGAGAGAAAGACACTCAATGATACTAAACGAGGAAAAAAAAAAATACAGTGTGTCCCGGGGGGATAAGCACTCTGGAGTGGGGAAGGCGTGTCACGTGGCCTGGGAAAGGCTTGGCAGAGGGTGACACTTCCACTGACACCCTGTCGGCACAGGGATGCACCCCTACAGACTCAGCGCATTTCTGATGCCCTGGGCCCTGGTCTGCATGCCTTCCGTCTGTCTTCACCCCCACTCCCACCCCCATGCCAGAAGGGCTCAGCTCAGCGACAACCGTGCTCAGAGGCCCTGCTGTCATCTTCAGTTTGGAGATGAGGCTGAGATCCGACCCCAGGGGGCATCAGGGAAGCAGTCTAGGATTCTAAATTCCGCCCTTCCAACAGAGGACTCTAACGGCGGGACTCCTGAGGGTTTCTGACTTGATATTATCTTTGCCCCCTCCCTGCGGACCCCTTCCCGTTGCCCTCTTGGTCCCTCTCTTACCCGACTCTGGCAGGCTCTTCTCACTGGCTCCACACGGGCAGAGAAAGCCTTTATAGCTCTTGAGGTCCACCTCCCTGTCCACAGCCGCCACCCCCACCTTGTCTCCCAGGCCAAAGTCCGAGCCAACAGGGCTGCTGAGGGGGTGGTGCGGGGCAGAGAGGGCAGTGACTGTCCCAAGGGTCAAGCCACAGGGAGCCCCCACTCTGAAAACTCCCTCCTGAGAGAGCCAGGCTGGGTGGGGGCTGTGAAGAGGTTGGGGGTTCTGGGCATCCACCAGGAAAGGGGTCTGGGGTGCCCCTCACGTGGGAAGCAAACACAAAGCTCTGAATGAGGGGTCGCTGTGGGGGCCTGCTGACCCCGTCTGCATGCCAGCCTTCTTCCTCCATCCCAAGCTCGGCTGTCTGGTGTCTCCTTCCCTCCACAAGCCCACAGTGGTGCATCTCAGGGCTGAGGGAAGGGGGCCATCCTCCCAACCCCTTCGCCTCAGGGCCCCCCCCCAGCTCTCCCTCCCTGGCCAGGTGTCACTTCCTCTACTCATGAACTGCTGGGGGTGGCCACAGTGGGAAGGGATGGGGACAGGAACACAGAGAAGCATTACTTTATTGTGGAAGCTGCAGAAACTTTAATTCTGGTCCCCGTCCCCACAGAGAAGCCAGGGGCACAGGTTGTGAGCCCGCTTCAGAAGGCTATCTTTGGAGCTTTTGAGCCAGGCCTGGGTGCGGAGACTCAGGTCCTTCAGATGGTCATCATAGTAGGTCTGCACAAAGCCCTGGAGGGCCTCCGGTCCCCTGCAGAAGAGGGGATATAACAGTTGAGACCCCAGCTACCTTCCGCTGCCCCATTCCCCCCTCTTCCTTCAGACCCAGGAGTGCCTGCCCTCAACTCTTACCCTCGGCTCTGCTCAGACCCGGAGGTCACAGCCTTACCCCACTCAGAACTCAAGAGTTCCGGGCCCACCCCTCCTCCCTCTGACCCAGGTTCTCCCTCTAACCCAGGGGCCCAGGCCCCCAGCCCCTCCTCCCTCAGACCAGGAGCCCTCACCCCCAGGCCCTCCTCCCTCAGACCCAGGAGTCCAGGCCCCCAGCCCCTCCTCCCTCAGACCCAGGGGTCCAGGCCCCCAGCCCCTCCTCCCTCAGACTCAGGAGTCCAGGCCCCCAGCCCCTCCTCCCCTAGACCCAGGGGTCCAGACTCCCAGGCCCTCCTCCCGCAGACCCGGGAGTCCACCTCCCAAGCACAGCTGCACATACTCACCAGAACCACTGCCACTTCTCTCTGGTCCTGGTCACCAGAACCTTCACATTGTCAGGCACCGGGATCCAAAAACCACTTGCTAGCTCTGGTCGGGGGCTCGGGGATTCTGTGGGCACTGTTTGCTGGCGTGCTAGGTGGGACCAGAGGGCCACATGGGCCGGCCGGGACCCGAGAATCCTTCCTTCCTCCCTTCGCCTCTGTGCTCACCATCACTGTCCCTCCTGGTGGCCCGAGGGCAGCCCCTTGACGTCCATCACTGCTGCCCTTCACCTTGCATGTCCCTTTGATCCCTTGTCCCCCTTTTAGCCATCAGTCGATCTCTTATCACCCTCTGTGCCCATGGCCCCTCCTGTCACCCCTCCGGCTGCCTGTTGTGTCCCCCCTCAGTGTGTAACCCCACCTCTTTGACCCCTGCCCCCCTCCTGATGCCTCCTTTACTACCTGATCTTGCTGCCTTCTCGGGTCTCCCGTGACCCCCACGCTGTCTGAACAACCTCTGCTAGCAGCCGAGGGAAAGCACAGGAAGACCCCCCGCTCCGCCAGGGATGGAGGTTGGCAGAGCTGTGCTGTTCATTCCCTCCCCTCCGGGGGGCCAGGGGTCCTGCCCCGGATCGCACTTGACCTCCTCTCACACACCTGCCTGTCCATCACTCTCGTGCCCAGTAGGTAAAGCGTCACCTACAGATCCCAGCCTTCACACGGACACGCATGTCTGTGCACATACGGGGGCACCCCTATGACCTGCGGAGTGCCTTAGCCAACGACTGAACCTCTTCTGTACTCAGTTTCCCCTTCTGTAGGATGGGATAATGAGAGGCCCTACCTCGGGGATCCTGGGAGAACTCAGAGTTACCATGCATGAGGCACTTGGGAGGGCGCCTTGCACATTGGAGTGTTAAAGTTTTAAATGCACGTGCAGAATGCAGACAGGCTCACGTGCCAGACACCCTCACAGCATCCACACACTCGTATCTTTTACATAAAAACGTGTGCACACAAACCTATATATGTTTGTTCACGGACGCACGTTTACCATGACGTCCTATTCTTGCGCAAATACACACAGCAACGCACATCCACGACCACTGTCATTTGCACCAGCCCCATGTACGCGCCTCACACGGGGCCACCACCAGCACGTTCTCCCAGAAACGCACACCCATCTGCACACGACGAAACACACAAGCTCCATACCTGCATGTCTGCCAACCTGCACACCATATGGATGGTCACACTCACCCCCCACAGCCCTGCAGGGTCCCCGCACCTGCCCATCCTCTCCTCCTCACCCACAACACAGGCCAGGACCAGAATGCAGAAGCAGAGGGAAGGCAGGGCCTGGGGACTGAGTCCAGGAGGCAACATTTCTGGGGGCTCTTGTTCTCCGATCCTCGATCCTCCACGCTCAGCTCTCCTGGCTGGGGGAGGGGGCGCTGTGCAGAGCAGAGATCAGAGCCCTCCCCTGGCTGCCTCCCCACGCCCCTTGGCAGGGACTTCAGAGAGAGGGGCCCAGGTGACGGTGACAAGCAGAGGCCTTGCCCGCCCCCGCTGGCCTCCCTCCTTCCTACCCTCCCGGCACCCTGGCCTGACAGAGGAAGACAGAAGGCTCTCTGGCCTCCTACAGTGAGTGGTGTTCAAATGCTGGCAGCACCTCACCTGCTGGCCCCTCTCTCTGGCTTCAGTTCCCTCCTCTGAAAAATAGGCCCACAATCCACCCAGACTTGAGGCAGGACTTTCACTGAATGAAATGATACAAGGAAACGTCTTAACGGAACCCTGGTGATGGTGGTGCTCACAGATCATGGCTGTTTATGATTATTTTCTTTCTAAGATTCCTTAGGCTCTGGGCTACAGGCCAGACACACTCTCATCGGGTGACCCGGGAAATTCCAACTCCTTCCCTGGGCCTCAGTGTTTTCACCTGTAAAATGCACATGCTCATAAGCGTCTGCCTCCCAGAGTCCATGGGAAGACTGGGTGAGGTCCCGTGAGAGAAAGTTCCAGGTGCACGTAGTAGGAAGTTGTCAATATCAGGCTCAGGCCCAACACCAGGTGGAAAGAAAATGAGCCTTTTCTCCTTGGACGCCAGGGCACATGGCTTGGCCAGAGGACCACGGACTGGATTCCTCGGTTCGGGGTTGGCAGATAAAATATAGGACGCCCGTTTGAATTCAGATAAATAATGTTTTTTTTTAAAGATTTTATTTATCGGGCGCCTGGGTAGCTCAGTTGGTTAAGCGACTGCCTTCGGCTCGGGTCATGATCCAGGAGTCCCTGGATTGAGTCCCGCATCGGGCTCCCTGCTCGGCGGAGAGTCTGCTTCTCCCTCTGACCCTCCCCCCTCTCATGTGCTCTCTCTCTTTCTCTCATTCTCTCTGTCTCAAAAAAAAAAAAAAAAATCTTTGAAAAAAAAAGATTTTATTTATTTGACAGAGAGAGAGGGAGACACAGTGAGAGAGGAAACACAAGCAGAGAGAGTGGGAGAGGGAGAAGCAGGCTTCCCGCTGAGCAGGGAGCCCGATGTGGGGCTCGATCCCAGGACCCTGGGATCATGACCTGAGCCGAAGGCAGACGCTTAACGACTGAGCCACCCAGGTGCCCCAATAATAAGTTTTTCTTTCAGTATAAGTATGCCCCATGCAAAATTTGGGAAGTATCCTAAAAATTATTTGTTATCCATCTGAAATTCAAATCTGACCGGGGATCCTGGTACTTTTTTTTAAAGATTTTATTTATTTATTTGACAGAGAGAGACACAGCGAGAGAGGGAACACAAGCAGGGGGAGTGGGAGAGGGAGAAGCAGGCTTCCCGCCGAGCAGGGAGCCCAATGCGGGGCTCGATCCTAGTACCCTGGGATCATGACCTGAGCTGAAGGCAGATGCTTAACGTCTGAGCCCCTCAGGCGCCCCCCACCGTAGTCCCCCC